TAAACTCATAAAGTACATCATTCTGATTGAAGCTAAGGGCTTACAAAACTGTCTAACACAAGTTCCAGGTAATGGCCAACCGAAAAGATCTACTTGGGTTTCCAGGCCTCCGGTTTGTCTCGGCTATGACCAGGATAGTTACCTGGTGAAAGCTACGACCAGTGAGGAGGACCCCATGACTTATATGGAAGCTATGTTGGACATAAATTCCTTGAAGTGGGTAGATGCCATGAGAGCTGAGATGGATTCAATGGAGAACAATGGAGTCTGGACTCTAGTACATCCGCCCCCCGGGGTAAAAGCAATTGGTCGCAAATGGATCTATAAGAGGAAGAAGGGCCCCGATGGTAAGGTTGAGACCTACAAGGCTATTCTGGTGGCGAAAGGGTATACTCAGAAAGAGGGCATCAATTATGAGAAAACCTTTTCGCCGGTGGCCATGCTTAAATCCATTAGGATCCGGCTAGCTGTAGCAGCATACCATGACTACGAGATTTGGAAAATGGATCTCAAAATTGCATTCTTGAATGGAGATCTTACTGAAGATATCTATATGCAGCAACCGCAAGGTTTCATAGCTACGGGTCAGGAACACATGATATGTAAATTAAATAGATCCATATATGGACTTAAGAAAGCTTCTAGGAGTTGGAACATCCGGTTTGACTCTATTGTCAAAAAGTTTAACTTTGAGTAGAACCCAGATGAGCCCTGTGTTTATAGGAAATCCAGTGGAGATAAGGTTACGTTTCTAGTTTTGTATGTAGATGACATTCCAATCATTGGGAATGATGTAGGAATGTTGATTACGGTGAAAGTATGGCTTTCGCAGCAATTCTCCATGAAAGATCTTGGAGAAGCCTCCTATATACTGGGTCATCGACTCCATAGAGATAGATCAAAGCGGATAATAGGAATATCCCAATCTGCTTACATTGACAAAATAGTCAAGAGATACAACATGGAAAACTCCAAGAAAGGAAATGTTCATTTTAGGCACAGAGTCACTTTCACCAAGGGGATGTCTCCCAAGACTCCCTAGGAGATTGAGGGTATGAAGGACGTTCCCTATGCCTCAGCCATAGGGAGCATCATGTATGCCATGTTGTGCACTCGTCTTGACATTGCTCAGGCAGTGAGTGTGGTAAGCAGATTCCAGGCCAACCCAGGGTAGGAGCATTGGACAGCTGTGAAAAACATATTTAAGTACATTCGAAGGACAAAAGAGTTTTGTCTGGTATTCGATGGTAGCTCACTACAGATCTAGGAGTATATTGATGCCGACTTCTAGTCAGATCCAGATGATAGAAAGTGTCTATATGGGTATGTTTTCATGATAGGATCGTGTGTTGTTTGCTGAAAGTCAGCAAACAGGGGTCCTAAGTAGTAAGAATAATAGTCCACAACCCAAGCCGAACACATTGCCTTAAGTGAGGCTGCCTTATGAATGAAGGTGTTCATTCTGGAATTTGGAATTCCGCACATCACCCCTTCCACTGTTGTGTGACAACACTGGATATACGGGCGATTGATATTAAGAGGTAGCATCAGCGGAGAATGTAGTAGACCCATTAACTAAGCCATTGACACAGAAAGTGTTTGAGAAACACGTGGAAAGTCTGGGACTCTGGCTTATACCAGATTGGACCTAAGTGCAAGTGGGATGTGTTAGACAGTGTATAACCTTAGCTCCAATCAGAATGATGTACTTTATGACATTTAATGTAAATGAATAAAGTACATAGTTGATTCATGTTATTATGGTGTGTTTCTGTGTAATACCCTTAAACTGGACACATATGAGACTCATGTTAGTTTAGAATGTTCATAGTCATTGGATAGATCTGGGGAGATTTATCCTGATAAGGCTGACACTGATGTGCCGCCAAGTTGGTTGGGGTAGCCTGTCTCAACTGCCAGGGTGAGACCCGAGGTACATGCAATGTATGTTTACTTGAAACCCTGAACCAGACCAGAATTCTAGTATTGCCATGGACTTTGGTGATTAGTGGGCAAAACTGGAATGTTACACCTAACCCCTAGACTCGATTATGATACTGCACTAGGTGTCGGATTGGGTTGTCTTTGATATGTCAATTAGTGAGATCCTTAGAGGGGGTCAAAACCTAGGTGTGTTGGGATAGTCCGAGAATTCATCTGAGTGGGTGATCATAGTGACAGGATCAGCCCCTTTGTCGGACAAAGGTAATGATCGGGGATGCACTCTCGCTGATGGAAACCAAAGCTGCCGACCGCCGATTTCAATCGTTGAAATTTGATTTTGCAAAATATATTTATATAAAGATATACATATATATTATGATTTCAAAATGTTTGCAAAATGTTTTAATTCCCGGGATCCATGTGAGTAGAGAGTGYARCAYTRTWCCTTGYAGCYRAGGGAGAGGTCCTCTCTTGTCGGGCAGTGTTTGATCATTATGGGCTGAGAGATTAAGTGTAAGACCATTGAGGGTAATACCTGATGGGCTAATCTTGCATCTGCCCACAGTCCCTGGGTTTTTATAAAGTGGCTTGGCCCAGGGACCGTTTAGTGTAAGTGTTGGGCCCATTAAGTGCCCATGGTGATGGGCTTAGGGGTTCACTACCCATAATAGTGAATTCGGCCAGGCTTTGTAACAGAAGCTAGGCTGAACCCATGTGGCTGATGTGTAGATCAATGTTTGAGTCCCACGCTATACAAGAAAACCCAACTGGGTAGCAGATTGGAAGGTAAGTGAGCACATGGACTTAACTGGCCTAAAGCCCAATTCGAACTAGTCTAAGTTGATTAGTTAAAGAGAGAGGCAGATCTGAGATTGGGATCAAAAGATAGGATAGGGAGTTATCCCTATCCACTCAGAGAGTCTAGATCCAAATACAGATTTGGATTTGGAAACTCCTAATAAGATTAGGAGGGCTGATCTAATCTGCAGATAAGATAAGGGCTCATCCTTTTCTCTTAAAGAGAACTCCTGATCCAAATACAGATTTGGATTAGGAAACTCCTAATGAGATTAGGAGCTCTCTTTAAGGATATAAAAGGAGGAGGAGGGTGAACCATTCTATACAACATCAGATCAGATTTCACATCACAGAAAGAGAGAAGACAGCTACAGTAAGACTGCACCATCTTCTGCTCTTGCGCCCTCCTCTTGCTGCCACCATTGCCAGTTCGATCTCCACTGTAGGAGCGATCAAGAAGTGTTCTTGATATCGTTTTTTGGAGAAAAACTGATTTGAAGTCATGCTCACATACCCTCCATCGAATTCTTGTTGAAAGATTCGGTTCTTGTGAAGAACCTACTGATTCTGCTCCACCCTACGCTGTGTCATCTTCAGTGGGAGCAGTCTGTGGAGATTTCTTTGGGCGTGAACACCTTCATTGGGAGTTACTGCTACTTTGTATCAGGTATATCCCTCTCCTACCTTTTGGTTTCAGATCTGGTTCGGTTTAGGTTCAAGATTGATCCTTGAAAATGCAGATTTTCTAAAACAGGGAATGTGATTCCCACGTAGGAGAGAGAGAAATTTTTGAAATTTCACCCAACATACCTGCAAGGTTCGACCATCTATATGATGGATCTCTCATCCATTCACAAGGACATCCAAAAGCCTTCCACCCAACCTCGTATCCGGGCCTTGGAAGAAACCCTGTTTGTGGAGCAGTTGAAGAACCTTCCTTTACCAACAAGAAGTCCGAGCCACAAGCTAAAACTGGTCTTCGTTCTCGAAGATGGAATTGAGTATGGCTGAATGTCACAATTGACCATTTTTCCGTGCCTTCAAGTTTCATCACCACGCCTACAACATGCCATCCGAGTGTCCAAGTGTGTGTCTTGGGTGGGACATTGCATGTATTTTGTATGAGGGGATTGCCAATGGCATTATTGTAATTCTGTAGTATGATTTTTCACCTTTTTTGTGTTTCTTATTGTCACTCCCCCAAAAGCTTAACGTACTCTTTGAGGGGAGGTAGGTAGTCGAGTGAATCAATAGCGTGAAAGGTTAAGCACGAAGTCCCCTCGACATTGAATTGTGTGCTTGTGCTTACCATCGATTAATGCAATACAAGTAGCCTTTTTACTAATTCGTGTGCCTTCTTGTTGCCTTTTGTGTGTTATTTCTTGCATCCATAGGCTTACTCGACCGCATCGAGTGCCGCACGAGGCCTCGCCGAATAGCCCCGTGACACCAGTGCATACATGTGATGGTCCAGGTGCACTCTTTCCACAAGTTCCAAATACTAACCCAAAAACATAAGATAGTAAATAAACCCAAGAGGAATGTTCTTCCTAGTTCATGTGCGAGTCAAGCCACTCTAAAAGCAAACAAAACAAAAAAGGAAAAGGTAATAAAAGCAACATTAAAAGAAATTAATTTGAATCACACAAAAACCCAAAAAATATACCAACAAATGGTATTTGTATCTTAGAAAACATAGTGTCATATGTAAAGGCCCATTTCGTTCGCAGCTCAATATGGAGTTGAAATCCATCAGAATCGGAATTAACTGGAATGAGATTCTCATCAATGGAGGGGGAGAGAATGGCCCTTCAACCATGCATGCCCAATCAAACAATTGAATCAAAATGGGCCATGCATTCTGATTCCGTTTTGAAATCTCTATTCTCGTACCAAACGGACCCTAATTAAATAGACGGAACTACACTTTATATTCTAAGATTGACATCTCTGACTTCAAATCTTACAATAGATTTTGAAAAATTTGGCAACAATTCGTTACATTTCTCTATCTCTTATTATTTGTATTCATCGAATCCATCCATAGGGTATACAAGCACGCCTGTAGGTTAGTCATCTATTGCCATTTTGGTATGCCTGATCAAAATTTTACAATTGGCCATTAATATATGAAACTAAGATGATCATTTTTGTTCCACAAAAACATCTTGAATATTAATTTTCTCTCGTTTCTTTTTTTAAAAAAATCATATTTCTCAATCTCATATGGACATTCAAAACCACTTGCCCCTTGCTAGTTGTAAATAAGAAATCACTATTAGTCATTTATACTCTCAACGCAGTTACAGCGGACCTCTCTCTCTCTCTCTCTCTTTCTCTCTCTCAACAGAACAGCATTATCCATATCAGTACTCTATTCCTCTTCCAACAAAAGCTCCACCTCCACTTACATAATTAGACATTAATTCGAACAAAAGATGTTCCTACGTGGATCCAAGGCAAGTTGCTTTGTAGATCAGAAATTAACTTTTAGTGTCTCTTGATGAAGTCGGTAATCGTTTGGAGAAGACGATCTGTCTGCAGAGCCGTCCTTGGGTCCATGTCGGTGGCAATCTTGTTTAGGTAGAAGCAATGGGCCATCCCTGGATTCATCATCAGCTCTATATCCTTGCCGGCCTTCTTCATCGCTTGGTAGTACTCGAGCTGGGTGTCCCTAATTAAGTCGTTCTCAGCCACCACCAGGAGGAACGGCGGCAGATTCAGCCCTGCAAGGGGCGGAGCTTCAGGCCCCATCGGACATGTAATTGGGTGATCCTTGGTGCTACCAAGAGGTAATGCATAAGCCAAGAGTTTATCCACCATTTCCAGCGTCAAGAATGCAGAGTCAGACTTGTTTTCCAGCTCCGACCTGCTACGCTCCGCTCGGACGAAACCTGGGTGTATGGGTATTCCGCCAGCTAGTCTCATTGGATCGAGCTCCTCGGTGCCCGTCCGAGCAGCCACCTCGTGCACGAGGTTCCCCCCGGAGCTGTCTCCCATCAGAAAGACTCTCTTGAAATCTGCTTCCACTTCGAGCCAAGGCTGATCAGACGACACCTTACCACGAGCCACATCTCTAAGCCACAGGAGGGCGGAGAAACAATCATCAATGGCTGCCGGGAGCCTGTGCTCCGGGGCGCGTCTCATCTTCACAGAGACACAGATGGATCTTGCAGTGCGCACGATCCGGGTGTAAAATTGGTAGTAGAAGTACCATTCTGGCTCACTGATACAAAAGCCACCCCCATGGAAATGAAGGATGACTGGGATCTTCTTCTCGTCGTCCAAATTTCTCTCTGGTTTGTAGATCCGGAGAGAAAGGTTAGTTTCTGTGCTGATTTTCACGTCGAGGACTGCAACCCCATCAATGAAATGTTCATGAGGGTGGACTGGCTTGGCTATGAACTCAGCCTCAGGGCGTCCGTTCCATGTACGGTCGACGGAGCCATCGTCGAACACCTTGAGCCAGCAGGCGACCTCGTCGATTAGCTTCTTCTCGCACACCATGGTCTGGGTTTTGGGGTTGGGGGAGGTGACAATATGCAGCTATTGCGCCTTGGTTCTTCTCCTTATATATAGAGGATTCAGTTAAAGTCATAGCATCATTCGGTACAAAAACTTCAGGGTAAATTCTTTAACCCAATTACAAGAAATGTCAATTTTGACTAGTTGTACCAGTTTTGTCTTGTTGTATATATAATAGATTTTTAAGAAAGGGAAAAAAGGTAAATTCCTAACCCATTAGGTTGATAATACACATCTGTCCAAATACACACAGATCTTAGTGATGCAAATTTCCTAACCAATTTGCAGCTTGATTTGCGTGCCTCCCTCTGTACATCTGAGTATATATTTGACTTCTATCTTTGCTTCCAAAGCAACATTTTGAGTCCAGGATTAGGTTGATGATGATGTTCTACACTGGCCCGCATTGTCTATTCAAATTATATACAGATTTTGAGTGGTGCAAATTATTCACTAACCAATTCACAACTTGATTTACCATTTGACCTCTACTTTTGCTTCAAAATTAACCAATATTGTGAAGGTTGATGATGACTTGAGCATATGATCTTTCGAGATTTCATATAGATCTTGAGTGACGTGTTATATATTAGTTTATACTGGTTTGAGGTAACGTGCATACAAAGAAAGGATAAAATATTAGGGTCGTTTGGTTTGTAGTTAGAATCGAAATCGAAATTGAAATCCTCTAGAATTGAAATCAAAATAGCCCATTTCTATAGTATATTTGATTCAGATAAGAATAAAAATAAAAATTTAAATCAACAGAAATAAAATTTCATTCCCAAAGGAGAGACAGGCAATAGCCATAACCTCAAATAGAAAAATGCTATTCTAATAGAAATGGTAATGAAAATGAGATTCTGATTCCTAATCCCTATTCCTGCAAATTAAACAAGGCATTAGTTTTTTTTGACTTTGGATAAGAAAAATTGTCTAAGAGAAAAAAAAAAAAAAAAAAAAAAAAAAAACAAGATCGGTACATACAGGGGAGGTAACCAAGGGGGACATTCAGAGCTCCACATGTCTAAAACCCCTTAGTTTATATATTTAAAATGATGACCAAGGCATTAAAAGAAATGTAATTATTTATTCATTCAACATGCAAGCTGCCAAATGACTGGTGGGAGGACTTTCAAAGTCCAGACAAAAAAGAATGATGGTGGTCCATGCCATGTTGATTCTGAATGGATTGTAGCCGGTTCAGAATCAATGGATTAACTGACATGTATTTAATACTGACGTGGAACACTTGGCTCCACAGCCCGCTGAACAGCTCTAAACCTTGCTCTTGTTCCCCCAAGGTCAGCCCAGATACGGCCCCGTGGCTTGGTTATAAAAATAATTAGAAAAAAATGAAAAAATAATATATAACGGTAAAAAATTAACATAAATAATAAAGAATAAATTTGGAAAAAATTGTGAAAATTAATTCTATTTCAAATTTAAAGTGTACAAAAAAGACTAAAACAATACATTGAAAAAATAATATCATGGAACTGAATTAATAAACTGATAAAATTGAAAATAAAAATTACAATAGGACCAAATTATTGGAAAATATTACTAATTATTCTTAAATATAATAGAAAATAAAAATTACAAGAATACAAAGCATATTCGATTCAACACTTTTTAAAGTTCCACCTCCATCATCTACATCTGGTGAACTAATCAATTGAGTTGTCATATCTTCCTTTGTCTAATAGATCTAGCCATTCCTTCAAGCAGATACACATCTCCAAAGATCGACCATTCATGCTGCTCATCTTCTCATCGAGAGCCTAATTACTTGCAAAAAAAACAATACTCTGGTGCAATTGTTAACACCTCAGAAATTAGTATATCATGTGTCATGGCGGAAAGAATTGGGTAATTTTTTTTTTCCGTTTTCTCTTCACTAGGCTAAAATATCAACTATGTCTGCTTCCTCTGAGTTGAAGTAGTCAGACATATTTGAATTTTGCAAATAAAATTGAAGTTCAGGAAATGATGAACATGTTGAGGAGGTGGTAATTGATTGTTACCTTCCTCTTCTTATTATTGACCAAATTTTATTTCCACTACCACTTTTAGTTGCATCATAAAAAGTTTGTAAAATATCCTTTAGGCAAATTACAATTTCCCAATCTTTATCCATTAAGTAAACATTTGGAATTTTGTTTATTATAAAAACTTGTTAAAACATTTTTATATGAAAAACAACTTTCTAACATAGTGAAAGAATGGTAGGATCCATCTAATGGACGCCATAAAGGTTGCGGAATGGGTGGGGCGAATTTCAAAAATTTCCTACCTTCTCCCAACTGGGAATCATATTCCCTGAATTTAGAATACAATATTCAAGGATCTACTTGA